TTTCAGAATATTAACTTCCAAAATACCATTATACTTTTGTGAAAATTTTAAATTTGTTCTTGTTTGATGATAAAGTTACCTATTTAAATAATTTTTTAATAAAAAAATAATGATTGTTTTGATAAATACACCCACTACAACCCCATCTAACTTGAACCTTTGTATTTGAGGGGTTAACTTTAGACAAACCCTATATATATATAACCTACGAGCAAATGGTTAGATAGAAGCTTTCAATAAAAGCTTATGTAGGATCTTAAACGAGGTTGTCAAGAAAAGGCCAAAAAGCTTGGTATGAAAAGCTCTCGGAAGCACTTTGGGCATATCGGACCACAACGAAAAATATCAACGATGTTACACCCTATTCGGTGGTGTATGGAAGCGAAATGATTCTCCCTATGGAGCTATAGTTGTCTATACAGATTGTCTAATGAAGAATGTACCAAGTTGAGATATCAAGAGCTAGATGCGCTAGATGGAAAGTAACCCATCAAGCGCATAGGAGCCATGCTTTTGATAAGAAAGTGAATATTTGATCCTTCAAACAAGGGGACCTAAATCTGGTTGTCAGAATTTCAATTGGGGCACTTCAAAGCAAGTTTCACCTAAGTGGGTTGATCGATATATAGTCAAGAGACCATATTCTAGTGGATTATACCTCTTAAGTAATGAAAATTGGGAGGATGTAATGCCCCCAATAAACGGGAGGCACCTTTAGAAATGCTAGCCATCAAGATATCTCATGCATGATTGGTCAGTGCCATAAGGCTACAAACTGCTAGGCATATTGTGGTCCATGCCTCGGGATTTTAAACTCTTAGGTACAGGTCGAGACACAATTGTCTAGAATTGGTGCTACATATTTTGGACTTGTGTACTTGATTATTAGTCCACACCACATGACTAGAAAATATTTGGTATAGGATGAAACACAGTCGTTTAGATTGCCACTATGTGCTACTGAAGTGTGAGTGTTTAAGGATACATTGATTAATTCTTTTTGTCCAACCTACAAGATCTTAAACTATTTAGTGTATGCCGACGCGATTCCTATGACGAAATACATATCTGGCAAACTGCCCCCTATTCCTATTTGCCAAAGCGTAGGTGTCCAGAACACTAAAATATGCCACTAAAATACCTGTGTCTTGTTAGTATTTTTGGTTTTGAAAAATACTTGTGTATTTCAAAATAACACTATAGTTTCATATGTTTTTTAAGTTGTATTTTGTATAGAGAAAGTTGTGAGTTTTTAGTCCCACATTGAAGAGGAGAGTATGGCTTTAGTGGTATTTAAGTATAAGCATTCTCTTGCCTTATACTCTTAGTTCAAAGGTGAGAATGGAAGTGCTTGTATGGGGCACGCGAATTGTGCGACACACATACGCAAGTGCGTGCTTACGTGCGTGGGTGCTATGGTGCTTGATGGCACACTTACGCATGCTCGTATCGACGCATGAGGCACCACTTGCCTGAGTACGGGTTGGGCTCGAGGTTCAATATCTTTTTGTGAGATTGCTTATGTGGGATATCTAGCGATCACTAGCCGTTAAAGAAATGGAGGCTTGTAACAATTGTCGAGTTAAGGGCGTGTATGTAACTTGTGATTGTTGATGGTGCATGTAACCACTCTTACAGTAAATGCGCAACTTCTTGGAGCTCTATTATAGCAGTCATTTTTCCCATATGAAATAAACACATCCTATGCTCTTAACACTTTTTCTCACATAATTCTTTGTAAAATTCCAGAGAGCATAATGGAGCACTCATCTCTCTATCTCTACTTTTTTTTTCTCTCTTTCTCTATCTATACAATACAAAACTTTGGTGTCTATTGTGGGCTTTAAGTTCGGGTTTATAGAGCTTTGGAGTAACAAAAAGGCCTTTTATTTTTCCTGTATCCCGAGGACAAAATATCTTTCCTTGTGTAATCTTTTTACAATATCAAATGGGGGCAAATATTATCTTGAAATAGCGGTCCTGCATGCCCGAAAACAAAGAAAGATTCAAGCTTCAATTTTCTTAATTTGTACTAGTTTTTTAACCCATAATTCACCCAATCGATCTTCCAACAATTTAAGATAATATTTCATGGGTGAGAACAAGGAGACTGCCAGGACTTCTTTGAAAGTCATGAACCACGATTTCACAAGTCTAGACCGCTTCGGTGGCATGAGCTTCAAAAGATGGCAACAAAATGTTCTTTTTCTACTAACTACTCTCAAAGCGACTTACATAATCACTGAATCTATGCCTGCACTACCACCAACATCTGATGACTCCATCGTGTAGCAAACTCAAGCTTATAAAATATGGATGAAAAAAAACTACATTTGCAAAGGACATAGCCTCAACACTTTGACGGATCCCATATATGATATGTATGTATTTGTTGCCATGGCGAGAGAGTTGTGGAAGCTTCTTAAAACTAAATACCTCGATGAAGAGTCCGGTGACAAAAGATTTCTTATTTCTAAGATACCATGACCCAGCCCCCTACCGTCCTACCGTACTTGTCGGAGGACAATAGGGTGAGAGACCGCGACTAAAGGTAGTGAATGGCACTCAAGTGGGAGTGCGCTCAACGCTTTAAGATGAAGGAATCAAAGCAAACCATGAAACAAAATTGAAATCACACGACTACAAACAAAAACCGGACAACCAAGTTTCAGACCGTATAAATATATATAAAAGGAGATCCAAACGTATTACAAATATGTCAAAGGCTTCAAGGCCCAATAACATTTACATGACTTCAAAATACACAAGAACTACATGGCCACAACCAACCAAAACATACAATCGAAAATAAAAACTTCCACGAAAGCTTGGAGCTCCAATCGCTAGGCCGCCCGTCCTCCACTCATGGCTATCACTCTACATAGATGAAGATGAAAGAGTGAGCCGTAAGGCCCAGTAAATAGATCAAGTAACCATGCCTCCCTGCCGATGAGCATTCCCTCATAACAATACACAGGATGTTATGCAATTCTTATAAAACATGAGCCACGTGTCAAAATCAACTCTACTAGTGTGTAGTGCACAATTCATAGTAAAGCAATGACAAATCAGATTAATCATATATGATACTAAACAAAGGTCTATATAGTCATTCAGCCGTACAAGTCTTAACAGATTGATGAATATAGGCAGTAATAATAATTTCCAACTAACTCACTCCCTAGTTTCCCCTACTCCCGAAGTAGAATTCCTATCCATCAGGCCAAGCTAATCCCATTGCTTAGGACTTCTACCATCATTCAGGAGGGAAAACAAAGACAAATAGGTGACCCATTTTGTAATGCCTTAAAACACACACACAGAGTCCCCAGCGCGCTTTGGGGCTTTTGATAAAGATACGACCCTCATTGGTTATTTAGCTGGAGGGCGTTACACTACCAATGGATGACTCATTGCGTAGTGCCCTACACACATATTGGGGGGGTGCGACCCTCCCATGTGACTCACGTCCGAACTCCCTTCCTATCCTTGGGAGTCAGGTAATGATTTCAACTGTCAGCCTAACTTTCTTATCATATTATATTACACTACCAATGGATGACCCATTGCATAGTGCCTCATATTACATTCTTATCATATCATCTCACACTGCCAATGGCTGGCATGTTGCATAGTACATCATACTACTTTCTTACTAAATCAAATTACACTACCAATGGATGACCCATTATATAGTGCCTTATACATTTCTTATCATATCATATTACACTACCAATGTAGGACTAATTGTATAGTGCCTTATACACATGTCATTTCATCACATAGCTTGCTTTCATATCATGTTAGAGCATGGACATATCATATCAGAGCATGTGCATATCCTAGTAGAACATAGCATGTCTTATTATATGCATCCATATCATAACAGAGCTTATCCCATTATCATGCATTCATATCATAACAGAGCATGCATTCATTCCTTAATAGAGTAGGCCTCATTATCAGGCATCCATTTCATAATAGAGCATGCTTTCATGCACATATATCATAACAGAGGTAGGTTCACAAGAAACAACAATATGTTCAAAGCATATTACATATCATTAGGCTCATTAGCCCAATAGACATCTTCAGATTATTTTTCTGGTTTTTTTATAGTGGACTCAATCCACTTTTAAGGGCATATCATGAAATTCAAAAATCATTTGGACATGAAGCCAAATTTTATAACAATTTCGGTTCATAAACACAAAACTTTCATAAAGGGGATGACCCCAAATTTTGGCTTAAAACTTATTAAACTGCTTTCTATTCTTTGAGTACAGTTCCTATTTTTACACCAGAAATTCCAGTATGATATCCCCATATAAAAATGGGCATAACTTGCAATCCACACAAACTTTTATTATGGTTCTAAAACTATTTTTAGAATGGACTCATTTATATTTCATTTAGAAGTAGTTTGACCTCATTTTGATATATTTTGGTCAGTGAACAGTTCTACACAAAAAACGTACACAGTTCTTGGAAAATCATTTCACAGTCCTGACATACTTTCGAAAATGGCTCATAACTTTCAAACAAAAAGAGATATTGGCAAGAGATCTTTTCCATATTAAAATAGACTCAAATAGGTACTTTCTCACAAAATTTGGTGATAAAAAACAGTGTTTTTGATACTCAATTGAGCACACAAAGGGGAGTCACAATTTTGAAAAATTCCTATATTCACAGCAGAATTTTCCAATATGATATCCCCATAGAAAAATGGGCATAACTTCCAATCCACACAAAATTTTGTCATGATTCTAAAACTATTTTTATAATAGACTCATTTATCATTCATTTAGAAGTAGTTTGACTTCATTGTGATATATTTTAGTCAGTGAATAATTTACACAAAGACACATAGAGGTCTTGGAAAATCATTTTACAGTTATGACATACTTCAAAAAATGCTTAATAACTTTCAAACAAAAAAAGGTGTTGGCAAGAGGTCTTTTCCATATTAAAATAGACTCAAAAGGATATTTTTCCACAAAATTCCATGATCAACAGAGACATTTTCAATGCTCAAACAATTATATAAATGGGAATCACAGTTATGAAAAAATAGAGGAGATACTAACAACATTTGATATTTTCAATCACAATCATTTTCACAACTACATCCATATTCATGCTTGAAATTCCACACTTTGATAAGCTAAATCAGCAAAATATGGAACATGAGAACTAGATCCACTTACTGCACTAAGTGAATCTCCCAAGTGCTCCACACATGCTTCTCCTTAAAGGCCAAGCTCCAATGGGCTCAAGCTCAAAGCTCTAAGTTAGAGAGAGGGAGAACGTGGGTGTGAGAGAGAAAAATTTCATGGAGGGTTGTGACGGTGGGGTTTAAATAAGCAAATGAAGGGGGTGACAACATGCAACTGACATTTGGCACACATGGGACATGCAAGTGTGTTTACGATAAAAATTTGATAGATCTTCTAATGAAGATATCTCAAATTTTAATACCTTAAACTAATAAAATAGATGTAAATATAGTGGTAGAGAAAGTGGGACTGATTGAATTCAGATCTACTCGAAAACGAGTAGATCTACTCTTAGATATGGCAGAGCTAACATGATCCAAATCATTAAAATATGATTTTAAGACAAAGTTAACAGATCAAAATAAATAAAAACAGAAATAAAACAATAAACGAATACAAAAGAGAGAGGAACAAACAATACCAAATCAGGTCGGATGGCCGGGGTTCTCGAGCCTTCGAAGGCTCACCCGTATTAGAACCGATCCTCTTTGCCTCTTTGATTTGGATGTTGACTAGCATATCTCTGGTGTAGAAGGGTTAGATCTAGGGTTGTTGTGCCCTATGTCTAATTTTGATCAAGAGTTGTTGTGCCTTAGGTCTAGGTTTCTCAAGCTTGGGGGTGAGGGTCTCAGGACGTTAGGGTTTATGTCTTTCTGAAGCTCTAATGTTTCAATCTCTATCTGTTTTTCTGTGTTTCTCTCTGGTCTGAAGGAGAATTTCCTTAGTTTTCTATGGGTTTTGTGATATCCAGAGATTGAATATGAATTTTGAGATTTTCTCTAATTGTTTTGGATTTTTGGGGATTTTTTTCTAAATGTTTAGGATTTTTCTAAGGTTTTCCGATTTTTGGGTAATTTTCCTAATTTTAAAAATTTTTGATTTTTAAGATTTTTGGTCTCTTTTTTTTTTCTCTAGTTTTGGGTTAGGGAGAGGGGGTATTTATAAGATTCAATTGGTGATTTTTCCTAAAGTTTTTGGAGTTTTTTTGGATTTTTTTGGATTTATCTTGAAGTTTTAGCCTTATCTAATTAAAGAAAACTCATTACTACATCATCAGATGCATTAATTACATCATCAGCTCGCGTCTAGGCCTGTCAAGCCCGTTACAGCCCGGCCGGCGGCCCGACAGTTGGGTCTCATAGGGACTAAATTGTTATTTATTATATCTTTTTATCCATAGGTTCGATTCAGGCGATTCTTGGACCGTTGCAATTCTTTTAGGCTATACTGCAAATTGGGATAGGATTTTGGTAGTTTTTGGATAATTAAATTGGGTCTACTAGGATAATGTGATCCTAAGGATTTAGAAAACCATAAAATTTGCTAGATTTAGAATGTGGTGTCTATAGTTGTCCCTCTTTGACATCCCCTGTCCTTTGAGGGACAGGTGAGTGGCAAAGAAGGAGACACTTTGGCTTTCCATGTCCTTTGAGGGGCAGGTGAATGTCATAGATAAAACAAACATTTTAAATTTCTTCTTGAGGTCACGTGGTTAAGGGGCACACCAATTATCCCTCATAGGGTTTCCGGTGTGAGAT